AGTTCCCACCCAGAGTTAGTGTCAGATTGCCTTCCACACTATCGCAGTCCCACTATAAATCGCTGATCATCGCCATTAGTAGTGCTATAACTTTTACGCAAACCAATCTTTTTTTTTTTTTTTTTTTTTTTTAACCAAAAACATGTAGCAGAATACATTTTGGCCTAAATTTCTGAAGGAATTTTTAATTTTTTTATTGGATATGTTTTAAAGCAGAAAGTACAAAATATTAATTTTCAAATTTTTGGTCTTTTTTCGTTTATATAATAAAAAAAAACAGTGGTGATCAAATTCCACCAAAAGACAGTTCTATTTGTGTGAAAATGATACAAACTTCACTTGGGTACAGCATTGCATGACTGGACAACTACCAGTTAATATAATGCAGTGCTAATTAGCAAAAAATGGCCTGGTCATGAAGGGGGTAAAACCTCCAGCGCTGAAGTGGTTATAGGGAATTTTGAAGAAAACCAAAAAACAAGCTCCATTTGGTTTCCTTTAGTGAGCACATTCATGAACATTTTTTTTTTTTAATTTAGTATTCCTGCCTAACACTAACCATTAAAAATGTTCCTCCCCCTTCCTGTTACCTATGTTGCCTAATCTGTGTAAGAAACTTGCATATCTTCAGCCTTCTCCTGTCTGGTCATATGATCCACAGCTCCGGCTCCCCTTTGTCAGACAGCTGGGCTATGGGAACTCACAGGTGATGGCACCGCTCCTGGAATTCCCAGCTGTAGGCGCTACATCCTCTCCCCTGCAGCCGTGGCTCACTGAAACAGGGGATCACATGACCAGACCAGGCTGAAAATAGGTTTGTATACACCATTTTTTTTTTCTTACAGCATTGGCAGAATAGGTAGAAAGAAGCAGGAGGGAACGTTTTTAAATATAGTTAGACAGGAATTTCACTTTAACCACTTCACCTCTCACCCCTGTACACCCCATGGACCAAAGCAGTTTCTTACATTTCTGCTTTGAATCGGTTTATTTGGCAATACAATTGTCATTACCTAAAATAAAGCAATACATACAGTATACTGTTTTTAAAGAACAAAAGACTTTTTTGTGATATTGTCTTGGAAAACTTATTTTTTATACAATCCGTAGACAAAAAACAAAAATTAAAAAAAAAAAAAGATTTTTAATTTTTGACCAGCGTTCATTAAAAAGATAGTGTTACTGTAGATTAAAAGTATACATTTTATTCTATAATTTGTCCTGTTTAAAATTACACTAAAATGATGATTCTGGTATAAAGCACTGCAAGGTTACTTACAAATGAAATAACGTTTTTCCTTTTTATTTTACACTTTTTTTTTAACCACTTGCCTACCGGGCACTTTTACCCCCTTCCTACCCAGGCCAATTTTCAGCTTTTAGCGCTGTTGCACTTTGAATGACAATTGCACAGCCATGCGACACTGTACCCATATGAAATTTTATCTTTTTTTCACACAAATATAGCTTTCTTTTGGTCGTATTTAATTGCCACTGAGTTTTTAATTTTTTTGCACTATAAATGAAAAAAGACCAAAAAATTTGAAGAAAAAAAAAAAGTTTTTCTTTGTTTCTATTATAAAATTTTGCAAACAGGTACATTTTCTCCTTCACTGATGTGCATTGATGAGGCTGCACTGATGAGGTGGCACTGGAGGGAATTGAGGAGGAGGCACTGATGCTGCTGCACTGATATGCAGCATTGATGGGCACAGATAGGCGGCACTGACGGGTAGCACTGCTGGGCATTTTTGTGGCTGCATTGATAATCGGGGCACAGATTATCACAGCAGGTGTCCTCTGTGAAACTTGCCGGTTATTGGCAGTACTTTCCTCAAGCTGTGACAGCGTGAGGAAAGTGCTGCAGATAACCGGCAACTGTATTTACTTTGTGATCAACTGTGTCATTGGACACAGCTGATCACGTGGTAAAAAGCTGTGATTGGCCTTTTACCTTGTCATGTGATCAGCTGTGATGTGTTGTCATGTGATCAAAGACAGCGCTGAGTGCACACCACAGGAGGGGGCACATTCTGAGAGGACGTCATATGATGCCCTCCCAGAACTGGACAACCGCGCTGTAGCCATCATTCGGCTATAGTCCGGTTGTCAAGCGGTTAAAAGGTGACACGAAAAAAAAAAATTAACAAACAAAACAAATAATAATAAAGGTTTCTGAAAAGTGCTGATAAACACTAATGAAGATAGTCCAGTTTTTGACAGCAGCACCTGCTAAGCAGGAGCTGCTGTATTTACACTACTTGATTTTCAGAGCTGAGAAATAATGACAAGTGTCTTTTTGGGCATATGTAGCACATCCAGTGTCCACAACTATTTAAGGTTCAACAATCTTTTTCTATATAAGGTTCACTAACGCAGTGCTGACCAAACTCACTACTATGGGCACAAATAAACCCCTCCATCTACAGTATATATATTTGACCTAAATTTGAAGTATGAACAAGATCCAGTTTTGAAGAGAGATTCTTAACGTGGTATTAAAACCAAAAAAAATGTATATATTGCAGCTTCTCAGCTCCTAAATGTGGTGGCTGAATTAGGTTTTTTTTTTTTTTTTTCCTTTTATCCCTTTATTTTCGCCTGGTGATCAGGCCAGTAACACACTTTCTGCACCAACATTTCTCCACACCCATGGAAGAGGAACAGACACGCCTTTGGAAAGCAGCATTGTCAACATGAGTTGAGGTAGTTATGCAGCTGCCCAAGATCACCTTTATGTGACAGCCGGAAGCTGACTGAACAAAACAATAATAAACTCAGGGCTGTAGTTGTTTTAAATTCTTCTCTCTCTGACTGTTATAACAGATTTTTTTTTATTTTAGCATAAAGGATTTATATACATGTTTAAAAGCCAACCATTTTAAGCACCCCGGTCAGTGGTAAATTGTCTTCACATTCTAGCTGCCACTTTTGCTAGGCTGCTTTGTTTGTTAATATAGAAATGTTGATTTAATTGTAAATTACTTACCTTGGGGTATACTACAGCTTATTCTTAGACCAAGGGTTATATTCAGCTACATTCAGGAGATTGGATCTAGCAAAAAACTTGCTAGGGCCACCCCCAGAGCACACCATGCAACTCCAGCCACTCTGTGAGACTCCATTTTGTGGATAATAAGAAGCGATTAAGACAAACGGTAAGTGCCTGTTTCCTGTATTGTACTATCAGAGAAGGAATTCAAGCCTACATTCCTATTATCCTAACTGTACAGTATAGGAGAAAGGACTTGTATTCTTAGACGACGGGATGTACCCAAGCAATAAACTAAGTGATCCTTGGGTCAGTAGACCTGGTCTGTTTGGAAAAGGCCAAGGCTTGTCTTCCAGAAGTCTATGTCTGTGTACCATGCTCTTCTGGCACAATCTGGAGAAATGAGGATTACCAGGACCCTTTCTTATACCATTTATCGCAGCAGTCGAGGGAAGAAATTTGTAGGAGCAAAGACATAAAATAGCTTTACTTGAGCCAAAGGAATCACCAGAGCTTTCAATGCAAAGGCTATATCTTCCTTGAGCTTGGCTACAAGCTTGTTCAGCTTCCTGTTGAACTTGGCGACCAGAATGTTCACATCAGGTTTTCCCTGCTTCTGATATGGCCTCTGAAAGATCTCAGGGTGCAAAGACCACTTCCACAGATCTAGGTATTGGCAGCTTAGGAGGTCTGCCTGCCAACTGTCCACTCCAGTGATGCGGACAGCTGGAACGTGAGTTTCTGCCCAGGAGTGTATCAGACTTGCTTCTTTTGGGGCAACTGGACTTCTGATGCCCCCTTGATGGTTTATGTAAGCCACTGCTATGGCATTGTATGACTGCACCCTGACTGGATGATATTATAGAAGGGAGGTCCAGCATTGCAAAGATACTATAATGGCTTTCAGTACCAGGATGTTGGTGGGAAGTTTCAAATCCTGTATTGACCAGGTCCCCTGGACAGTCAAGGAATAGTAAACTCTGCCCCAGCCTGTAAGGTTGGCATCCGTTTGTTGCCACCTTCCAGGGCGTGTGAAGGAATTCTAGGACAGGACTGAAGACCCACCTTGTTGGGTAGAGCTTTGGCTGGACAACAGCATTTGACAATTTCAGATTAGATTTGTTTTTTCTGCATCCTAAGTATGTTGGATTGAAGAGGTCTGGAGGGAAACTGTGCAAGAGGCATTGCCTTGAACGAAGTTGCCATTAAGTGCTGAACTCTCATGCAGAAGCAAACTGAGGGATGCTGTTTTGACCTGACGGTTGGGAATTGAAAATAACAAGCAATCATACTAACCTAGGTGGATGCACCATCGGTCCAATGTTGCATCTATCCCCCGCAGACTGGGAACGGAGGATCAAAAAGGGCTGGTTGATCAGTACTCTGGTCTTCAGTGAGCATAGAGCCGGCGACTGTCCGTCATCAGCTCCAGCACTCACTGGAGAGAGCTGGGCTGTGGAGGGGGAGGAAGTGGTTGGCTCAGGCTCTTAGCGACTCACTGAGTATATAAAATAGCACAGGAAGGGAGGAGCATTAGAAGGAAAGGGTAAGAGGAAAAGAAAAAAAAAAAAAAAAAAGGAGGGGGCAGAGAATAGTGGGGTCCCTAACCCCCCCTGGACCATCACAGAGGTGAAAATGCTCAGAAGTATTTTTTCTGATTGAATTAGGGTCATTGCATCCTTGTACAAAAACCACAGTGTTGTTGTGCAGAAGAATTTCTCATCCTGGTTACTCAGGGCTAAAAACGCAAGGTTCTTCATTTGCTGGATCTCATTAATTCTGATATACACTATACTGCCAAAAGTATTGGGACACTCCTCCACATCTTTGGATTTAGGTGTTCCAATCACCTCCATAGCCACAAATGTATAAAATAAAGCACCTAGGCATGCAGACTGCTTCTACAAACCTTTTTGAAAGAATGGGTTGCTCTCAGGAACTCAGTAAATTCAGGCATGGTACTGTGATAGGTTGCCACCTGTACAATAAGTCCATCCGTGAAATTTCCTCGCTACTAAATATTCCACGGTCAACTGTTAGTGGTATTATAACAAAGTGGAAGCAACTGGGAACAGCAGCGACTCCGCAACGAAGTGGGAGGCTGCGCAAAATGGCAGAGCGGGGTCAGCTCATACTGAAGAGCACAGTGTGCAGAAGTCGACAACTGACTGCAGAGTCAATAGCTATAGACCTTCAAACTTCATGTGGCCCTCAGATTAGCACAACATTGCATAGAGAGCTTCATGAAATGAGTTTCCATGGCCAAGCCTTTGTATCCAAGCCTTACATTACCAAGTGCAATGCAAAGTGTCGGATGCAGTGGTGTAAAGCACGCCGCCACTGGACTCTATTCACTCCAGAGAAAATGTCTCTGTCTAATCACACTTCTCTGCCTGGCAATCCGATGGATGCGTTTGGGTTGGGTAGGTGCCATGAGAATGGTACTTGCCTGACTGCATTGTGCCAAGTGTAAAAGTTTGGTGGAGGAGGGATTATGGCGTGAGGTTGTTTTTCAAGGGTTGGGCTAGGCCCCTTAGTTCCAGTGAAGGGAACTCGTAAGGCACCAGCATGTTGGAAAATTTCATGCTCCCAACTTTGTGGGAATAGTTTGGGGATGGCTCCTTCCTGTTCCAACATGACTGCGCACAAAGCAAGGTCTATAAAGACACAGATGAGCGAATTTGGGGTGGAGGAATGTGACTGGCCTGCACAGAGTCCTGACCTGACCTCAATCTGATAGAACACCTTTGGGATGAATTAGAGCGGGACTGCGAGCCAGGCCTTCTCGTCTGACATCAGTGCCTGACCTTACAAACGTGCTTCTGGAAGAATGGTCAAATATTCCCATAGACACACTCCTAAACCTTGTGGACAGTCTTCCCAGAAGAGTTGAAGCTGTTATAGCTGCCAAGGGTGGGCCAACTCAAAACTGAACCCTACGGACTAAGACTGGGATGCCAATAAAGTTTAATGCGTGTAAAGGAAGGTGTCCCAATACTTTTGGCAATATAGTGTATCAATGCATTTTGGTGGGAGGTTAATTTTTTTTTCCCCCACAGTGTTGGTATTCATGCCTCAGCTGTAGTCAGTGGATGTTTGAGCGGGGGATTTTGTATTTCTTAAGTATCAATAAAGTTGTATTGTGAAATAAACATACAAATGGCTTGCCCACAGGAGACACTTGTGTTTTTAACAATATTCCAAAAATCCTGCAATCGTGGCACTCCAAGAATACATGGAGAAGCATAACCACTGCCTCATGGCATCACCTACATAATCAGATCTGGGGGTATACCTAATGTAGTTGATGAAGGGTTTTGTACCTTTGTGTCAACAGTTTATATTCACGCTCTTGATATTTAATGGTCAGGTAAGCTTTGTGTGCAAAGAGGGTTAAATGTGTTCTTTGTTCAGCAGTGACCCTATGGGAGGCGAATAAGGCCACTGTGCGGGGTCATGTTATGCAGCTGGCGGCGGTCCGGGAGCGGGAGCGCCAACTTTGGAGCTTCATTGTCTCCTGGCCTCTGCGGATGCGTGTTGGAAGTCATCTTCATCCGCGGCCCATAAACGCGCTCGGGACGATCTGGAGGCAAAGTTGGACCTACTTGCCTCTTCAGAGGCAGAACGGGCCCTGCGTTGGACCAAACACAAATTTTATTCCTGTGCTAATAAGCCAGGTCCAACGCTGGCCAGGAAACTCAATTCTGTGGGGAAACCCCATAAACCGATCTGACTGCGACTTCCCACAGGTGGCTGTACTTCTAATCCCCGGCAGATTGTTTCCCGTTTCTCGGACTTCATTTTGCGCCTCCAAGCTAAACCAGATCCCTTCCCTGTGGCTCAAGCAGAGGCATTCTTTCAAGATCTCCATCTTCCTGGATTATCTGAGGCAGCACAGGTGGCCCTCAACGCCGGTGTTACCGTACCGGAAGTGCTCCAAGCTATCAAATCTTTACGGTCCACCGTGGCCCCAGGTCCCGATGGCTTCTCCGGTCTCTATTATAAGAAATTCTTGGCCCTGTTGGCGCCCTTTTTGGCTGACTATTTCATTGAGTTACGACAGGGCTCCTTGCCCTCTCCAGACGCGCTTAGAGCGCATATCTTTATGATTCCTAAGATGACCGATGATGTACAGGAACCGCAAGCCTTCCGGCCCATTTATCTTCTTAATGAAGAGCTGAAGATATTGGGCAAGATCCTTAGTTTTCGCATCAATAAATATTTGCGTAGCCTGGTCCACAGGGACCAAGTAGGGTTCATCCCTGGGAGGCAGGCGGGTGATAACGTTCGTAAGGTGGTCCATTTTATACATTTTCTGCAACAGCGGAAAATCCAGGGATTCTTACTGTCCTTAGACCTATATAAAGCCTTTGATTTTCTATCCTGGGAATATCTGCGGTTTGTGCTGTCTCGTTGGGGTTTTGGGGATTCTATTCTTTCTTGGATTCAAGCCTTGTATTCTTCTCCTTTGGCCTCCATTAAATATGCTGGGCATTTCTTGGATCCCTTTCCTATTGGGCGAGGGACGAGACAGGGCTGCCTCCTGTCCCCAGCGCTCTTTGTCCTGGCGCTTGAGCCGCTGGCTTTAGCGCTCCAGACCGATTGCAATGTATCGCGGGACAGGAGTTTAATCTGAACCTTTTTGCGGACGATGCCCTCTTGACTCTTACTAATCCACTGACGACGCTTCCTAATTTGCAACGGGTTCTTGAGAGCTTCTCCTTGATTTCGGGTCTCCGTATTAACTTGGATAAGACGGTCGCTCTCAATATTACTTTGGCTTCAGATTTGGTTTCGCGCTTACAATCCCACTTCCCTTACAAATGGGCTCCCTCTTCTCTTGAATACTTAGGCATTTGCTTGACCCCCACCTATGACTCCCTGTTTGCTGCAAATTATTATCCATTGCTTAGCGCTCTAGCTTCTCTTATGCATTCCTGGCAATTTCCGCACCTGTCTTGGATAGGACGGGTTCATTCGGTGAAAATGACCATCCTGCCGAAATTGTTATTATTTTCGCACCCTCCCAGTGCGGGTTCCCCCTCATTTTCTTCGGTTGATTCAGGCGAGGATTATGCGCTTTATCTGAGCCAATAAGCACCCCAGAGTCTCCAGAAATACGCTCTTTGCTCATAGACTCCAGGGTGGTCTTGGGGTGCCTAAGTATTATCAGGCAAGCCAGATTGCCCCGCTGTCTATGTTGCACGCTTCCTCTGACGCTCCTCTCTGGGTCCTGCTGGAACTACCTAATTGTGCCCCTATCGCACAGTCGACGCTTCCCCCTGCCCTGCGGCACTGAGTTCGATGTTGCTCCATGGCTTACAAGTCTGGGACTCGGTACGTTACTCCAGTGGCCTAATGTCACCCTTTCTGTCTTTGTTCCCAATTATTAACAACCCTCTTTTCCCACCGGGTTTAGATCACCCAAGGGCGTTTTCTTGGTGGGTGACTAATGGTTTTTCGCAGGTGCGACACTTTTTGATTTTTCAGTCCTTCCCTACCTGGAATTCTCTTCGGGAGTCCCGGAATGTTCCCCCAGGGGAATTTTTTCGATACCTTCAATTGCGGCACTGGCTGCTCTCGCTGCGGTACACTTCGGCTTTCCCATACCAGAAATCTGCCTTTGAACAGCTTTGCCAGCAGCGTCCAGGCACCCCGGGCCTTATCTCCCTTCTTTATGCAGCTCTGAACAGACGCACGTTCTTTCATATGTTGTTCAGTGGGAGCGCGACCTGGGAGTGGCTGTGGATCCGGAGGACTGGAATAAGGCCTGGTCACTCATAGCTAAATGCTCATTCAATACGACCACGCTGGAGGCAGCCTATAAGGTATTGTTTCGTTGGTATTGGGTTCCGGCTCGTTTGGCCCAGGCTAACCCTGCCTGTAGTGATCGATGTTTTCGGGGTTGTGGCCATCGTGGCGATGTATTGCATATCTGGTGGTCATGCACGAGACTGTTTCATTTTTGTTCTCGTGTGTTTGGCCTCCTTTTCACTTTGTTCCATCTCTCCATACGCCGGGATGCTCGGTATGCCTTGCTTCATTGCCCCATACCGGGCCTCTTGGCTCATCAGCAGAAGTTGGCTTCCTATTTGTTTTTATCGGCCACTAGAACAATTGCTTAGGCCTGGAAGAGTCCGTTTGTCCTTCTTCAGGGGGTGCGGGATCGTATGACCACTATGATGCTCAACAAACAGATGTCAAGTATATGCAAGAACTCCCAACGTAAATTTTTTTAAAATATGGGAGCCGTGGTTGCAATATGCCTTTCCCACGCTCCCCCCGGCTAGTCTGGGGATGTAATGGCGTTCGGTATTGGCGCTCTTGGACCCCTGCTCTTTGGTTTTTTTTTTTTCTTTTCTCTCTATCTCTGTTTGTTTTTGGTGTGACAGTGGACAGCTGCCTTTAGTTGTTATAGTCAGAGTTACATTAATGTTATTGTAATTTTATGTGCCATTGATAGCCCCTGCGTGGGCGTACCTTTTGCCTTGTTGGCGTTAGAGCACTGTTTTCTCTATTTTGCTTTTTTTTTTTTTTTTTTATCGGTGCAATTGATAGCCCCTGTGTGAAATATAAATGTGTTCTTTGTGAGCCTGAGAAAAAAAGTCTCACAGTCTTCTTTCATTGGTGTTTAAATGGGTGGTCATGCTGGTGGCCCTCTATGGTGAAGGAGCAATTGAGTAGAAAAAAAAGAATGTCGAATTGGGACTTGACCTACAAATACAGTTTCATATGGGTTTTTGAAATGAGTCACTTTAGAGGCAGCGGGCTTAGAGGGGCTAAGCTGAAGACATTTCATGAAATCTAGTTCAGTGTTGCTTCACTGGACCAATGAAGGTCTAGCTTGGGCTGTGTCCAAGATTAGGCCTAGGTACTCTAGTTTGAGGGCTGGAGTGCTGTGTTTGGAAAGTTATTTATCCAGCCAAAGGTTTGAAGGAAGTGAATTGGATATTGGAAGCAAGGCTGAGTAATCCTGGAGTAGAAGATAGTCTAGGTTACCTGTGACATGAATGCCATTTCTTTCATAGAAAGTCAGAAGCAGTGCAAGCACCTCTGTAAGCACTCAGGCTGCAAAGAAGAGCAAGGGGGTAGTGCTATAAACTGAAGTGTTGGTCTCACAGCAAAAGTCAGAAAATGTTGGTGTGAGGGGAAAATGGGGATGTAGAGTTAGGCATCTTGTATGTCAACTGATGCAAGAAATTCCACGTCTTAGAGAAGCAATGCCA